AAAAACATCAAAAAATTAAGAAGGAAATAATTAAGAATTTACTAAAACAAAAAATTAAAAGGAACGAAAAAAAATGGGTAAACGTTTTAGTATTACGTTATTGCAGCAAAATCCGTCTTATCCATTTATACTTGCTTTTTATTGTCATTATTGTTGCAAACCCCGCTTTTTTTATAGGCTTTTTACACAAGTATAATATTACAACTGACATCTTTATCTAATTTTAATGAAATAGCATATCTAATAGATCAAGTTAGGATGCAAATATAACATTTGCTAAAACAATTTTGCATATTATCTCGAAACAACATTTTTGGCATAAGACGGGTTTTGCAACTTGATGCCTCATATCCTCAGAAATATAATATAAATACACAAACCTTACTGTCCTTGCCATTCATACAGGGTGAGTCTTAAATAAAGAAAAATATTTTTAGGGGTAGTATATTTCAACCCCAGAAACATGTCTATGAGGTTTTTTTCGCGAAATTTTCTTTTCAAAATTTGGAATTAAAAAAAAAACAGAAAAGATCCAGTGGTTCTCAAAATTTAAGCAAAAAATATATTAACTAATTAAATAAACAAATGATTTATTTGTGTATGTGTTGAGTTAAAACAAAAAAAAAAAACAAATAAAAGTGTCTCATATAAAAAGAAATTATGATAAATTCAAAATTAGATATTCTTTCCTGTTAAGTCCTCTTATTTTTTTTATTTTAATGTGTTTTAGTATATAGGGTTCGGCAATAGTGCGTCGGATATCTGTAGGTCCTAGAATAGAAAACTTGGGAATTTTGTTTAAGTTCAAACCTAAATTATGTACTATGATGTATTTCAAAAAATATTTTAACTTCTACAGGGTGGCTAACAAAAGTGTGAGTGGATCAGGCTGATTTTTTTAAACGGAACACCCTGTATATTAATGCATTTTTAGCTTTTATCTGCAATAGCATTTTTGCATCTTAGCATTAATACTACTTTTTAGCTAACAGGGGAAACACCCTGTGTGATTTAAGATTATTTTAGATATGTATAGCAAAGTTAAGTACAGACCTTCTAAAGTAAATACCTAATATAGTTTTGATTTCAGGACAGTTCTGGCATTTTTAATAATTTTTTAAGAAAAACTATTAATATCTCTGAAAATATCGAAATATATTTATCTCATGTCATGTCTTAGGATTCTGTAAAGTTATCTGAAAGGAAGCCAAAAATGCAACAATATACAGGGTGTTACAATTTAAAAAAAATCAATTGACCCTTTTTTGAGCCACCATGAAGAAGTTACAGAGTGAACAAACTTTCTGAAACACTGTTACTGGGTGAACAAAAACAAATTTTCTGAAAAACGTTCTAGTGCATACTTTAGGTTTACACTTAAACAAAATTACCATTTAAACAAATATATTTTAAATTGAAATATTTTAAGACTTTTTTAAAATCAAACAATTTAAAAAAAAACTATTGAATATTTACTTACTTAAAAGCAAGAAACAACTCCCAAGGTAGGCAATAAATGTTTCCTATACAGCGAGACTTTTTGAAATACAACGCCCCTATCTGTGATAAGCCCGTAAGGCCGTAACAACTAAATGACTGACGTTCTACCTACCTGTTTTATGACCATTTTACTGACTATTTACGATGATATAACATGACGAAATAATTGCGGAAATGCATAATACTCTGCCTCTTTTTCCTTCAATTTTTCACTTAAGAAAAAATACCCACTTGCTTTTTTCAAGTAAATGATCACGTTATTCAATCAAGGCCATCTACACGCTCCATTCGATCTTACAATCATTCTAACTAATTATTTGCATTCCTTTGATTACGAGATACTTAACAGTTACGTTAATAGCTATATGGTTGAGGTGTTCATAGAGCTATCATTTTTATAAATGAGTTTTAAGTTGCTTTGTAAACAATTTTTCATTGATGTGTCATTTACATATTAAGTAATAATCTTAACATATTATATTAAAAACATCTGTTAAACTAAACGGAAAATAAATGACTAAACAATTTATAATTACATATACAGGGTGTCCCAATATTTTTCGGCATGCGATGACAAAAAAGGCAGAAGACGTCCATACTAATCCATTTAATTCACTAAAAAATTTTTTTAATATTTTTTTAATTATACCATGGATGGGTTTATATACCGGGTGCGTCTCAAAAAAAACGAGATTTGGTATATTAGTATATGACAAAAATTAGGATCAATTAAGGTATTCAAATGTTTTTGGCCACTTCCTGCTTCACCGGAACTGACTACAACTTTTAATTTTTAAGTGGCGCCCTCGGTAGTTTTTTACTTTATTTGATACAAAATGACTTTCGGCATTTTCGCATATAGTCTATTTGAAATTGTAAAATGTGGTTCATAACGATAATTTGATTCAAAATACCCAGTGTGTGTACCAAATTATTCGTAAAAAAATGATTTTTCCAAATATGCTAATGATCCACATTTGTTCCATTAGAAAAAAAATGAGATATGATTAGAAATACGATTTAAGCGTCTTTTAACCGGCCAGTACAACACACGAAAAACATTAGACGATCAAATATATTTTTCTAAGGCTTCTTGATTAAAAATTAGAGTTTTTAACAACAGCCATGGCACTCTAGATTCTAGAGTGAAATTTAAAATACGATTCCTTTAAGTAAAAATGTTTAAATTTGACATATTATATGTCATTCTACTCAGAGTGTCATATTCTATTGAATAAAGTAGAAATTTACCGAGGGTGCCATTTAAAATCAAAAGTTATATTCATTTCCGGTTAAACAGGAAGTGACCAAAAACAATTGAATACGTCAATCAACCCACACATACTAACATACCAAATGTCATTTTTTATTTGAAAAATTACTTTTTTTAAGGGTGAACCACTTTCGAAACGCACCTGGTATAAATGTCATGCGTTGTTTCTTGTCGTTTTTCAATCTTATTGGTTTATTTCAAAAATGACAGATCATATTTCACTGTGATTGGAATGACGGAACGATGAACGACGCACAGACGCAGATGCGAATGAATTTGACTTAAGATTTTTGAAACTTGTCAAACTCTTGTCTAATTAAAGGTTACTATTTGTATTAAATTATGTCAAATAACCAGCGTTCTGGAAAATTATAAATATTTGATATATTGCTTTTGCATTTTAGTTTGTGTTTAGTGATGTTAATATTTTAGAAATGTTTGATTGTTGCAGGAAATTTCCGAAACTTTCGGAAACTTTCGGAAATTTATGAAATTTTAGGAAATTTTACAATTTTACATATTTTTTGTTGATACAATAAAGGAATATATTAGATAGACATTTGATACCAACATGTAAGTGAAAAAAAAAATAAACATAATATTAGTTGTTATATTTTTAATAAACAATACATAACTCATAAAAGTCATAAACATAACACATAACAAAAATCATTTGGTAACATTTGTACTTTGTACATAAACCAAGAACTATAACTATGAACTTAAAAAAAAGGCAAGAAATATAAATTTAAAAGACGTAAAATACAAATAACTGAATTATTCTATTCCGGAATACTTTCAGGTGCCGAGCTGGTCCCATCTTCATAGGATATTATAGTAGTAGTAGCACTGTCCTCGTCAGTCTCTATTTCCAAATCAGATATATTTGATGTATCATCTGGTTTTGATTCTGAAGAAATGTTGTTGAATATCATGCTCCTTATCCACTTTTTGTTTTTGTAGTAATAACTTTTTGTTATGAGCTACAAACATTATTTTGCCGGCTCTTTGTGCAGTTAAGCGATTCCTTTTTTTGGTATGGGTAAAACTGTAAGTACTGAAACTTCTCTCAGTGGCTGCAGATGACGTTGGTAAAGACAGCAGAGCAACAGCTGAATAATTCAAATGAGTATTTTTACACATTACTTGCCACCAACTTAGACAGTCTACATTTTTAACTGACATCCAAACGTAGTCGAGAGCCAATAAACCCGATTTGGCGCAATAATTTGTTACGTCTGTAAAAATGGCTTCCTTATTATTGACAAACTGAGGATGTTTGTTGGTGATATTGTTGATAAATTCCATAGCGGCTATGTGTTCTTCATTGTTAAGGTGCTCTCCCAGGAAACAGAGGGGTCCAAGAGATTCGCGGCAAAATGCATTGGTTTACGAGCCATACGTTTTCTATTTTGTAAGGCGGAGAAGCATTCTTTTTCTTCTGATTTAAGAATAGGCATACTTGATACACTTTCGTTAAATTTTTGCTCAATGTCTTGAATTTTGAAAAGAAATTTCTTGCAAAATTCGGATTTTTGCGAATATTCGCGATTTTGGGACCGAATATTTCGGAAATTTCTGAAATTTCCTGCAAAAATCGAATGGAAATATTCGCTACCAACATCACTATTTGTTAAGTTAAGTGGAGGAAAATTTAGTGTAAACCCGAGAGTTGTATTAGCCATCAGTAAAGTTTGTATACCATCTCATATATAGTACTAAACACTGGAGTAAGTGTATGTATAAAAAATACATTACACATAGGTAAATATTAATACCGTATGATCTAAAAAACCGGCGTCAAAGACGGCTGGGAAATTAAAATCGATGATAATTTTGGCGAGACCAAACCCTAGACTTCATTTACTAAAAATTGATATAAAACTTGACAAAAATCAACACTAATTATAGACAGATTAAGAAAGGATAAAACGTTTCCAGAAACACAAACCTATATTTAAAAAAAATATTTTTTCTCGAATTTTAAACTATATCATTTAAAAAAATCAATATAAAAATAAATTACAACTTTCTTAAAGCCAACTGGCAGTGAGCCCCATCAAAAAATAGTAGTCTAAAGCTATATCTCGCCAAAATTGTCATCGATTGTCATTCCCCAGCCATATTTGACGCTGTTTTTTTGGATTATTTAGATTGATAGATTTTATTAGATTATAGGAAAAGGATTCATAAAATCAGAATGTTACTATAATAATCAAATACATACCTTGAGCGCACAGAAGATGCAAGAATCTGCCATACAGGCATGTCCAGAAAGATCCCTGAAACTCCTTCTGAAGATGTCCAAGTGCCATAGTACCTGAAATGAAAAAAAATAAATGATCCAAAATGAAGACTCAAATCTTTATTAAATAAACCCCAAAAAAGATGTGGTATCAAATTATAGGCGAAAAAAAAAATAAGGGAAAGGGCATTTCTATAGAGTGTTGAGCAGATGTAGACCCACCTGTTGGATCAAACAGGCACGTGGCAAATAAAGGCACAGGTTGCAAGCGAAGCATAAACACGGGATTGAGGTTTTAAAAACTGTTCAAATAATAATAATCTGGTTTCAAATATCTGGCGAGTTTCAAAATTAATAGAGAAAAATAAAAGTCCTAAATGCAAATAAAGATCACACTAAGTTATTCAAATAAATAAGAAGTTTTATGCATTTTTGTTTCCCGTTATTGCAGGCTTTAAATATAAACATACTACGGTTATTTATTATATGGCATTAAAAATACATACAACCCTAAATTTTTACCCTTCTACCACCAACCCCTATTTTTTATTAGGAGTGTTATTGTTTTTTAATACTTTTAGATATTCCTCCGAAACGGCTTATCCGATTTTGATGAAATTTTATATGAATATTCAGTAGGTCTGAGAATAGGTTGTTATCTATTTTTTATACCCCTAAGTGATAAGGGCGGTCCACCATTTTTTGGGAAATTGTTTTTATTTTTATTTCTTTATGATGTGGCAGTAAAATACATACAACCCTAAATTTTCACCCTTCTACCATCAACCCCTATTTTTTATTGGCGATATTAGTAATTCAATAATTTTAATTTAACAACAAATTGTTAGAATACCTTAAATTAAAAATGTGAGTACGATTGAGTATAATATACCGGGTATAATGGTATTTACCCAAATTCAATATACCATTTATTCACCCTTTGGGTATATACCGGGTGCAAAAACTTGGGTATTTACCCGAATTTCAATATACCGGGTGCTTCAGCAACGCGTAGCCGGATCTGCTAGTTAATTTGTATAAAGGAATAATTATATTTCATTCAAACAAAAGCTTGGTATCTGTGTAAGCAGCAGTATATGTTTAGTTACATAACCATCCTAAATAATTATTTAATTTTAATTCAATTTTTTTTTATAATTTATAGTAGCAAGTTCAAAATTTCAATAATCTTTTTCATAATCTCTTTAAAAATTAGCATTACACAACCTCTATTTTCACCTTGGTTCAGGTAAATTACATTCACAAGTTCATTAACTTTACAGTATTTTAATTTTAATGCTTTTAAAACTCGTTTTCTTTAATGGCTATCTATGTCCAAAGAGACATCTGTTAAAAATAAAAAAAACTGTGAACTTTTAACTATGCCTAGTTAGTATGTCCCCGGATTGTCTTTAAAAGAGGAAACATATTTTTATCATTAACTGTTTGAGAAAAATGTATAGAAGTTTATACTTATTCTAAACTGGAAATGGTTTTTACTTTTCGCAATTTCCATACTGTTTTAGTGCGAAAATTAAAAAAAATAGGGAAATATAGTCTTCCAAAAATCAAAATGCGTTTGTATGGTCATAACATTTTTAAGATTTCATTCTTTAATAGATGATTAATATTAATTTTGATTAACGTCATATTTTTTGCTGTTTTAGAATATTAAAGAAGAACAAAATTTATTTAGTTCAATGATACGAAAAAGGTGATTCTATTTTGGAGCTTCTTTAACATTTTTAAAAACAAAATATATGGTGACAATCAAAATTGATAATAACAATCTATCAAAGAATGAAATGATATTATCACAAAAACAATCCAGGGACATACTGTATATTCGTCGATTCTCGTGAGTCTGAACCTTAATTTTTATTCGAAAAAACTACAAGAACAATGATTCTGATTCATCATCATTGTATAAAGTTACAAATATATAAAAATGTGTAACACTTTAATGTATTAATACTGTATCATATGATTGAATGAAAATAATAACTTAAGTATACTTGGAGGTCATTTATACACCTCACTGTGTAGTTTTGGTGATCTACCTTTAATCAGTCCTTCTTGTTAGGAACTACCCCTTCTGTTACTCAGATTTTTTATCGTACCCTGCCTATTCCTAGTTATTTTAGCTTTATCTGAAGACAGATATATTATTCTGAAAAACAGTTTCGCTAGTTAGGCATTCCTTTTAATCTTTATTTTTGGCTTGATAACCAGAAAATAATTCAGTGTCATTTGTGTACAGGGTGTCCAAAATACTAAGGTGACCATTCGGATTTCGGGAACTATAAGTGATAAGAAGAGAGTCAAATTATAACAAAACTAAGCAATTTTATAATCAACCAAATTCCAAATTCATGGGAAACAGGGCAACAGAGTAGATTTTGCAGTATTTTTTGCACAGAGTAGAGTTGATTTTTTGTAGAACCGATAGCCTCTAAAGACAAATAGAGGCTTTTTTAATACTATAAAGGTGTCAAAAAGGGTTAATACTACACAGGGTGTTTTGATTAAGGTCATATTTTTTTGCTGTTTTTGATTATTAAAGAAAAACAAAATTTATTTAGTTCAAGGCTACGAAAAAGGCAATAACTAAATTTGGAGCTTCTTTTAACATTTTTAAAAACAAAAAATATGTCAATCAAAATTAATAATAATAATCTATCAACGAATGAAAACGAAATTATATTACTACAAAAACAATCCAGGGACATACTGTATATTCGTCGATTCTTGTGAGTCTGAATCTTGATTTTTATTCGAAAGAACTACAAGAACAATGATTCTGATTCATCATCATTGTATAAAGTTACAAATATATAAAAATGAGGGGTCTTTGAAGATTCTCACGTCCTTAATTCACAGTTCTTTAATGTATTTATACTGTTATCATATGGTTGAATGAAAATAATAACTTAAGTAGACTTGGAGGTGATTTATACACCCCACTGTGTAGCTTTGGTGATCCATCTTTAAACAGTACCTCTTGTTTGGAACTACCCCTTCTGTTACCTAGATTTTTTATCTTACCCTGCCTATTCTTAGTTATTTTAGCTTTATCTAAAGACAGAGATACCTATTATTCTGAAAAACAGTTTCGCTAGTTAGGCATTCCTTTTAATCTTTATTTTTGGCTTGATAACCAGAAAATAATTCAGTGTCATTTGTGTACAAGGTGTCCAAAATAATAAGGTGACCCTTCGGATTTCGGGAACTATAAGTGATAAGAAGAAATTCCAATTCAGTATTTTTGTATAACCGATAGCCTCTAAAGACAAATAGAGGCTTTTTAATACTATACAGAGTGTCAAAAAGTAGTGTATCTAACTTAGGTGGGTGATTCTACAGATAAAAATAAAACAAAAAGTTCCTTTAAATATATACCCTAAAATTCTTCCCAAAGAAATTACAGCCCTTGAAAGGTTAAATAAAAATAATAGGTATATTTTGTTTATTTTTATGGACATTGGTAAACCGTTTATCTTGAAATTTGGTACTTTTACATACATTTTAATGCCAAAGCGAATGGCAATCGTGGAAAGTTTAGTAACAGCCGTGAAAGGGTACTTTTCATTAAGGGTTCATTAAGGTATGTCAACATCCTTATAGATTATAATGTCAACAAATGGAAATTAAAGCTAAGTCTCTTTAATGTAAAAAAATGTGCTCTTCGTATAGTTCGAAACGGGGAACGGTTTTCAAGATATTTGGGTTTAAAGGTTCTGATGCATCAATTTTATTATTAGCGAAACCAGGAGTTTAATTGAATTAAGATAGGGGTATAATAGATGTCGTTGTCACATTATTACGTTTTGAAGCGTTTTCTGGCTTTCTTGTAAAATTAGCAAAATGGCGCTTATCTTGTTTTTCCCCTGAATTCTTCATTTATAAAAGTAAATAAAAAATGCAGGTCGGTGTTTAAAAAATCAGGTTGATGATGGTATCACGAAAAGGAAACGTCGGATTCCACATTTATTAGTACCATCTTATAAAGAGAAAATGTAACAATGACGTATTACTACAACAATATATTATTTTTGTCCATAGCAACTGTTAAAGTTGCGTCATATCTATGAAAAATAGTAGATAAAATAGTACCGTATGATCGAATAAAAACAGCGTCAGCGATGGCTATGAAATGAAAATCGCTCTCATTTTATATGTAAATTTATATGGAAAATGTCATCGATCGTCATTTCCCAGCCAACTGGACGCCGTTTTTATTCGATCATACGGTATTTTAACCGCAAGGGTAGATTAAATGATACTTTAACAGCGAGGATAGGTAAAAAACTTTATTTCTTCTGGCACATTTTTTATGGAAGTAGTTTGGATATGGCGTTTGTCGTCTCAGCCTGAATATCTGTTGGTAATTTACTTATTTCGTTTTGAGCCATTTCTGGCTCCAATTCAATCAGCAATCGACACGAAAGAAAATTAAAAAATATTGACTCAAAACTGACAACTAAAGAGACAGCTTTATTTATTTGTCAAATTACATAGAAACCAACGCCAACCCAGCACAATATTTTTTCTACACGTAATAAATTCCTTGACATAATAATTTCTGAATATTTTTTAAAACGTAACTCGCTATGGAAAAAAATATTGTTTTATACACGACAAAATGGTATTTTATCGCCTTGTATAAAAAATAACTATTAAAATATCTCTTCAAATATTTAAGGCCAAAGAAAATTATAATCGGTTTTACAATATTTCGTTTTTTTTTTCGAATATCTTTTGTGAATGTTATTTGTTTATGTTGAGTCTTTATTTTAATTCTCCAAACATTTTATTAGACACAAAATTGCTAAAATCTGTCATAATTACTTGACCTTCTTAGTTTTTCTTATAGCTTCCCATTTATTTATCAATGGCAATCCTTGAGGATACCCTAGGCGACACCCTGTATTAAAATCTGACATTTCGGTACTACACATTTATTAAAAAAAACAGGAAATGTCTTTTAGAATAGATAATTTTTATAGGTTATAATTAGAGAAAACATAAAGCATGTCAATATAAAGGAGAACTAATCATAAAAGCGATAATAATTA